TCTACATCTCTAATTATGCCCTGAGAAGAAATTCCTAGCAATGGGACTCCTAAATACGTAATATATGCATGTTTAAGGCTTTTGGCAGATATTGCAAAGCTGTTCCCTACAGAGCTTCCATCTGCCTGTGATCCCACCAGCTTTGCGTGTAAGAACTGGCCTCCCTGCACTCCTGTCCTATCCTCATCTTTCTTGTATTTACTAGAATTTTAAACTGCTCGGTTTCATCAGCCATTTGCATTTTTTCCTTACGTAAACTGCTAATTCTGATCCTTCATTGCTTCTTACTCTTGGAACTCTTTTATTAAATTTGTGAAATTTTATGTTATATATTTCAATATTTTATCATTAGTAACATTTTTCCCCTTAAAGAAAGAGTCTATCTAGTATGGTGATTGCAACTGTAACCCTAGGACTTGTAAAGCTGAGGCAGAGGCATTGCCATGAGTTAGGGGCCAATCTAGGGTATTCAATTTACCATTCTTGTTCAGGGAGTATTTTGTGGAACTGATACTGTTAATTATTAGAATAGTTAATGTTGAGGGTGGCTATTTGTCGTGAAGAATGGTAACATTTTACAATAGTTATGGTATATAAGATTCATGTCACACAAACACTGGAAAAGACATATTCATAAGCAAACAGGAAGATCATAGTACCATGTCACAGACTCTGCTGGGATCAGAGGCCACAGGGGTCTGCTGGCTTCCATCTAAATACACATCAACCCTATCTAGAGAATCAGAAAGTAAAGCCAACCTCTCCCCAAAGGAAACAATAAAAAAACAAAACAAAACGGTCCTTTCCTCTTCAAATAACATCCATAAATGCTAGCTAACAGACAAAACAAAAACCAGCTACCAAAAGATGAAAAACTCACTGGAGCAGGCAGGAGGCTTTCCGCGTGTAATCAAAAAGTAGCTTCTGTGTAAAAATGTCTGGTCACAGAAACAACCTCAGGAAGTTAGTCATCTTGCAGGAAAGCCCAACTCCGAGTTAAGAAAGAGACAAATATAGGGGGCTCCCAGATTTACATAACCTTCTATCTCCCTCTCTCTCTCCTGGGAGGCTCAAACACCTCATATGATCTCTAAAACTCACACATACATACACACACAAAGAGAGAAAGAGGGAGAGGGAGAGGGAGAGGGAGGAGGGAGGGTTGTTAAAGGCTAAGACAGTTGGGTGCATTAGAAGTAGCAGCTATATTTCTAAAGAAAAGGGCTTCATGGGTTGGACAAGAGGCAACTTGTATTAGTCAGGATTCTTCTAAGGAACAGAATGAATAAGACGGAGAGAACTTGTTACACCCATAATCAGAGGCTAGAGTCCCACAGTCTGCAGGCTGGAGAACCGAGGAAGCCAACCACTATTCAGTTGTTCAAACAGTTGGAAGTCCCAGAATAAGAGGAACCAGTAACGCAGGCTGAAGGCTGGTAAGTTTAATGCTGGTGGAAGTCCCGGTTGAAAGATGGACTATCCTGGAGTCTGATGTCAATGGTCAATGACAGCAGCAAGAAAAACCACTCAGGAAAAGTTACACCTACCTTGATGGTTCTCTGCAATTACCAACTTAACACAATCCTAAATCTTAGGTGGAGAGAATCTCAGTGGTTGTCTAGCTCCAGCTGGCCTGTGTGCAGGTCTGAGGGAAGTTGTCTTAACTGAGTTAACTGAGGTGAAAAGACCCAACCCACTACGGGCAGCACCATTCCCTACGTAGGGGATCCTGTACTGTCTAAGAGGGAAGACAGTGAGCCGAGTACACACATGAATGCCTTCATCCTCTCTCTGATCTTGACTGTGGATATGACTAGCCACTTCAGATTCAAGACACTATAACTATCCTGTAGTTCTGGACTCCAACCTGGAATGCGGAGCCAAAGCGAACCCTTTCTCTCTCACCCGAGTTGTTGTTCTGTCAGGGTTTTCATCGCCGCAGCAGCAAACAACACTAAGAAATCGCCAGTGAACGAGTTTCCCCCTTCTTCCCTGTTATTGTTCCATTCAGACCCGCAGCCTATGAATGGAACCACCCACATTCAAGATGAGTCTTCCCCACCTGGCTCGCTGTCCCGTGCCAATCTGTGTAAAATCTGTTAGACAAACCCAGAAATATGCCAAAATTCTAGGTACTTCTAAATCCGTTCAGGTAGACAATGAAGATCAACCAGCATATAACTGAAGCACTGGGGTAAGCAGGAGACATCAGGTCCCCTTGAAACTAATAACCAGGTAGAGGAGAAAGGGCATGGGAAAGAGCAAGGCAGGATCAAGATATTCCCACAAGTCTCTCCTGCCATGCTTTCTATCTTTGCTCCTCATCTATGACTACATTCTTTTAAGGACAGTAACTATTTTTTCCTTTGTGTTTTAAAATTGCTTTTTCATTGCCTTCATAGTTGAGGCATGTCCCTGATTTCAGAATTAAAAAAAAAAAATGTATGTGTGCATTTGTGTGTGGGTATGTGCACGTGCGTGCAGGTCCCTGTGGAGGCCAGAAGAGGGCGCAAATTCTCCTAGTGCTGAAGTTACAGTAGGTTATGAGCTGTCAAGTGTGGGCACGAGGAACTGAATGAGGGGATCCTCTACAGGAGTAGCATTCCTTCTTAGCTGCTGAGCCACCTGGTTAGCCACTCAGAGGCAATTTTAATCATTGTCTTTTTTTATTACACATGAGAAATATTATTTTAGACACCCAAGTTCCCATTTTCTAGCATTCACTTTAAATCTTAGCCATGCTTATTCAGTTAAAAAAAAATGTTCCCATGTTATTTATTTATTTGGGAGAGGGTAGCATTTGTGCCATGGCATGAATGTGGAGGGCAGAGGACAACTTCCTGAAGTTGGTTCTGTCTTCCCATCAGGTGGCTCCTGAGATCCCAACTCAAGCTGTCAGGCTTGGTGGCACATGCCTTCTCCTGCTGAGCCTCCTCCCTCGCACAGGCTTACTTAAAGGAAGAAAAAGTTTTACTGTATTTCACATAATAATTCATTCCAGTGTAATGGGGTAGGGAAAAAGAAAGGAGACAGGAAAACAGGGCCATGGGCTTTTCCAGCCTCAACAAGATCACAGGACACCCAGTAAACAGCAGCCAATTCAATGAATTACCACATCCAGTGGTCACAATGCAGGGTCAGGCTGGTCAAAACAGAAACTCGCCAAGGGCCTCCTGTGCTGAGCAGGGAGCCAAAGTTCAGTGCACTGTCTGTTCTCATCAGAGGCATTTTCATCCAAGAGCCGGTTTGCAGGTATCCTTGCGACTGTGGAAAGCCTGGACCCTCTGGCTGCCTGCCTACAACCCCACTGTGGGGCAGTATTCAGGACAGAGTCAGTAGATCCCCCTCCAGTCACTGTGTAAACATGGTGTCACAGCCACAAACTTCCATACCCTAGCTTTGTGTCCTTTATCCCCAGCACAGCAAATACACAGCAAAAGGGCTGGAAGTGTCGCTCCCTGTGCAGAGTGCTAGTTTAGCCTGCATAAACCCCTGGGTTCAACCTCCAACATAAACCACACGTGGTGGCAGAAAGGCAAGAGAGAGTCCAAGACAGTCCATGAGACTCTTTCTCCATTAAAAGAGTAAATAAATAAGAGCGAAATCTCTCTGATGTGTGGATGCCCAGGAGGCAGCGGGTCTCGGATTTCCTGAAATGGGGCAGAGTTGGCTTCTCCGCATCATGAAAGAAGATCCAGGATGCATGGTACCGATGGACTAGCTACCCTATGATGGTCAGTGTTGATGGTCAACTTCACAGACTTTGGTGCACCCATGAGGGATTGTCTAGACTAAGGTTAGCCTCTGAGAGTGTCTGGGAGAGATTCTCTCGTTTTTTAAAAATATTTTTGTTAACCCTTTGAGAATTTCATACTTGTATATGATATTTTGATCATATTCATCCACCCTCCTCCCCCAGCTCCTTCTAGACTCAATCTTACTCCCTTCCAATTTTATGGCCTTTGGGAGATTATATTTAATATGTTACTTAATGCAAGGAAATTAATCTCAGTTAGGAAAGCCAGACAGAGAAGAAGATCCAAGTACAACATGCCTGTGCTTGCTGCTTTCTGACCCTGGTTGTGAGAGCTGCCTTGACTTCCCCGCCATGATGGGCTGTAACCTTGAACTATGAGCCAACACACACCCCTTCTTTCTTGAGTTGCCTTTGTTGGGGTGCTCTGTCACAGCCGCAGGAACAAGACGCGCCCCATCTTGCCAACCACAGCTGAATCAGACAGGTTAGCCCTCAGAAGTTCTCTGACCGTGGCTGAGCCATTGTTAATAGAAGCATTGGGCTTTACTTTTGGATTCTTAAGTTTACCAATATGAGCTCTGACTAGAAAAGTTAGAAAATAAAACCCTTCCCCCAAAGGGAGACGAATCAAAACATCAGCCCCTTCTTTATACAGTATCCATACAACTCCAGAAGACTCTTAGACACCTCAGATGACCCCTGAAACACAACACACACACACACACACACTCAGACGCATGCACATTCTCTCTCACACACACACTCACATGCATACACGTCCTCTCTCTCACACACACATGCATATACATTCCCCCTCTCATACACACACTCACATGTATACACATACTCTTTCACATACATATGCATACTCACACCCATACACACACACACACACACACTCATGGACAAAGAAACCCGTGTAGGTTTGAGACCCTTCCTCAGGCTGCTGGACTCCCCAGTACCTTGTTTATTGGCTGATGTACTGAGGACAGAAAGCAGCAGTGGCCCATGGCCAAAAGGCAACTAAACATTTCTCCAGAAAGACAAGGCTGTTGTGAGCCTTCGCCTGCGGAGTTAGAGAATATCACACTTAGGTAAGAACCTGAAGAACTTCCATCTCACGCAGAGCCTCCCTGTGGTGACCACACACTTCTCTCTAACACAAGACCAGGCCTGGCCAGCAGGAAGCAACCCGGGACTCAGTGCTGGGTCAAGGCCCTAGCCAGCAGACACCAGTACCCACCTGAGATATAGGAACAGGCTGCCAGGACACTGCTGAGCAAAGCCATCTCCAAGGGCTCCGCGGCCACTGGCTCCGTGCTGGGGCTGAGGGGCAGCCTCATATGGCATTGGGAGGAGAGCTCCTGGACACGTCTGGTTCAGCGTGGCCCCCTTCCTCTCTTCTCCTGTTTGGGGACATAAAGTGAGCAATGAGGCAGTCTGCTTTCTCTGGGGTTCTGTTTCCAGCAGCCTGTGCTCAGCAGCCACAAGCCGGGGTCCCAGAGGAAGCCACCTTCCCCAGGCAGGGAGCCACAAACATCTGGGTCTTGCCCTTTGATCGGGCGAGGTGCCCGGCTTTTAGGAGGCAGTAACGCTTCACGTGTTTTTCCTGACTTTTCTCCTTTCTCCGCCCCACTGCAGCCCTCCCTCAGGAAACTCCTCGTTTGCTTCACTGCGTTTTTCCTCGTTCATCTCTGGGGAACGGTCCATTAGAGCCACATCATCACCTCGGTGACTGCTCTGCTCCTGATCTTTTCGGGAAGCCCGCACCGATGACACACATGTACTTTGATCAGGTGCCTCGTCCCTCGGGTCAAAATATGCCACCGTTGGCAATGGGTAAGCGATGCCCATCCCACAGCTGCCACCGTGGATCCAGCTCTAAAATGCCCATAAGGACTTGGGAGCTCAGTCTGCTCCTGGATCCCAGGTCCGTGACTCCATGGCAATGATGTGTCAGGGATGAGAACCAGGATGGGGAGATCTCAGAGTCCAGAAGTGAGAGAGGTTTGTAAAACAAACAAAAAACAATAAAGCAGGGTAACAGGCAGGGGGATGACAGTAAAGGTTGTTTTAGACACGACAGTGGGTGAATTGCCCTGAAAAGGTATCTAATATTTTTAATTATCTTTTTTTTTTTAATCAAATTCAGAATTTCTGAATGAAGGGTGGGGGCTAAGGGGCTCTGGAAGCAGGCTGTCTGCCCGGGGGTGTGGGAGGGGGACTCCCCTCCCTCCAGCCTCTGAGCCACAGCAGGGCTAGTTCTTTCCTAGCCCTTAGCATTTCTGAAAGGTGAGCACAGAAGGATACAGGCAAACAGTGAGAGACCAGGCCATTGGCCAGCTCCTCACCCCTTCTGGGCTCAGCAGGTTCAAGGACCCCAGGTTCCAGACAGAGAAAGAAGCTGCTAGAATCATAAGTTCAAATCCATCCCCTCCCACCTGCCCGCCCCAATGCTCCAGGACGCCGGCCACATCACTCCCGATGAGCAACCGTCTCCCACATGCTCGTTTTGATGACTCTTCCTCCTGACTCAGGTGAGGGCCCACTCACCACCCAGGGTATATTTCTACACTAGAGATACGATCACACGGCCGCAGCTGAAGCCCACAGCCAGGCTCCATTCACTTTAGTAACAAACACGGGCACCTCTATGACTCTCACCTTGGCTCCTACGGACACTCCTCCACAGGCCACACACCTGCAGGCACAGATATAAACTCACCCAAGCTCCGACAATGCCAGATTGTCTTTAATTCCCAGGTGGGGGGGGGCACCAAGCTCCTTCACCTTTCCAAGCATTTGACTGTGATCTCCATTCGGCACCTACTGCTCTTATAGAACATTTGATTTTGTTTCCCAGCACCCTTGTTGGGCAACTCACAGTCACCTACACCTCTAACTTCAAGAAATCTAACACCATTGTCTGACTTTCTCAGGTACCCACACTCACAGACAAATACCCCCACATTATTAAATTTAAGAATCATTAAAATTTTAAAGAAATTAAAAAAAAACAGCAAACCACAGTGATCTCAAGTTGACCCAGAGACCATATCATGCACCTGGGCTACGGCCAGAACATCATCTGAAAACCAGCAGCTTCGACATTAATTGGAAGCTTTTTAGGTCTGCTTAATCTTAGGCACCACCCCAGACCTAATAAATCCAAATCTCAGTTTCTAAGATGCCCAGTTGAGTTGAGTTTGAGAAGTTGTGCCATATGACCTTTGTGGGCTCACATGGCCAGCACTCTGAGAAGAGACACACAGCATAGAGATGCAAGACAGAAGCATCAAGCCACTCCTACGTGCAGGGTTATGCCGTGTTCCTCCAGGAAGGTCTCGGTCCCTTTACAGCTCTGAGATGACCGGTTCTCAACCCAGGCAGTTTTGTCTCCTAGCACATATTTGACAGCATTTAGCATCATTTCTGGTGGTCATGGTTACAACACAAGGTGACACTGGTATCTACAGTTGAGACTAGAGATACTGCTAAGTTTTCCATATGATACAGGATAGCCTTCTGCCACAAAGAGCATGCTGGTCCAAAAGTGTGCACAGGGTTCTAGAATGGTCAAGTATCACTGCTTCAGAGACCAGCTTAAGCCAATCCCATGTGTCAGAGAGAAGTTGCCTTGCCCATGGGAGCACTGCTCCAAAGTCTGGTCCAACAGTGCAGGGTTCCCCGTGACCAGAAATGACCAGAAGTGACCAGGCTCTTGGAGAATGAGGTTTAATAGCAAAGTCGTCCAAAGCAGATACCACAAGCCAATCTGTAATCAGAGAATCCCCGGCTTAGAATGGCCCACCTTACATGGGAACCTCCATGAAAGTATTTCCTTGATTCACAGGGTACAAGGTCCATGTCAAGACTGGGATTCAGTTCTGCAGACACACTGATGCTAGGAATAATGGGAATTGTGTAGGGAAAGGAAGAATTACAAGTGAGTTGAATATTTTCAAAGCCAGAGCTTTCTTCAAAAGATAACCCATTGGGTTAATTATACATCCTTCTAGAGAAAAGTCATTTCTAAAGGGCACCCTGTCAACACTTACATGTCAATATAGCATCTACCAGTTCTAGTGTGAACGAGAGAGTGTGTGCATACACGAGTGTGTAGCTGCATGCACCAGGAACACACCTGAAAACCAAAGAAGTCAGCCGTTCTGCGATATCGCTCCACCTCATTCCTTAAGTGAGGGTCTCACTGAGTCTGGAGCTAGGCTATCTATCAGCCAGCACTGTTTCTATCTATGGCACCCACAGCCCTGAGATCACAGGCTTTTTAAGTGGGTGCTGGGGATTCAAACTCGGGCCCTCATGCTTGTGCACTAAGTGCTCTTACCCATTGAGCTAACTTCCCAGCTCCCAAGTCTTAACTCTACAATGGCTTTCTTTCCTATGTTGGCTCACAGCTTATTCTGGAAAGAAACAACCTCCTTCTACCGCATCCATCCCATGCCCCGGCTTCCTGACCACATACTGTTCTCCGGATGAAGATGTCAATATGCCCTGTCTTGTGAAAACCTAGACTGAATGGCTAATTGAGTGCATGGTGTGCTGTTTTCAGCGACTTCCACATTACAGGTAACCTCATTGCCGCAGTTACAAATGTACATTGTCTGCAGCCTTGAGTCCGTTCATGTACACAGAGTAATCACAGAAATGAAATGTCCCTGGTGATGGTGCATCACACCTTAGACTCAGAAGCAATGTGACTTCCTTGGGAACCAAGTCCCCTCCACTCCCATGCAGGTAACTCTCAGGGGTGGGCAATTGTTTTAGCCAACTGAGAAGAGGTGGGCTGCCAGGAACAGAGAAGTATCTGGTAAGAACTGGTCATCCTCAATGAGGATGGTTTCAGCCAGTCAGAGTTCTAAATCTACTTGGCCTCAGTTGACTTCTATTTTTTGCAAGGAAAAAAGAACAGACACACACACACACCACATCACATGTCTGGGAGATCACCTTGTACCTTAGACTTGGTGCCATCATGTGTTCAACAAAGAGGACTTGGGGATGTATCTAGGTCCTTGGAGAGTTGAGTAGCATTCTCTCAGAGGAAAAATCCCATGGATAATATCTTTTACGTGTATGAGTGTTTGCCTCTAGGTATTTATGTGGACCTCATGCATACGCTTGCTGAGGCCAGAAAAGAGCATCAAATCCCCTAGAATGGAGTTACAAATGGTTGTGAGTCACAATGTACATGCAGAGAAACACACGCAGCCAGTGTTCTTAACAGTAGAGCCATCTCTCTAACACTATGGGTTGGGATTTTATCAGGAATTCGGACTAGCCAGTTGGAGAATCCAGCATCCTCTGTTCATAACAGAAAGGAAGCAAGAGACAGATGATCAGAGACACCCGTTTCCTCTTCCTTCTCTTCAGCCAAAACTCACAACCCAGCGAGTGAAGGACCAGTCTGCCTGGCTCCACATCAGTGAGGCCTGCAAGTCATTTCCTTGGAAGAGGAAGGAAGGGAATTCAGTTCCCAGATAGCAATGCCCAGATGCACCATAAAGAAAAAAGTCCCATGCAGCTCTGTGTGGATGCTGAATCCTGGTCAATTCTGACCCATCTGTTCCCACAGTCCGCTCCTGCTGCACGGGAAGCCTTTCTCTTCAGCCCAGAATAGAGGCATTTTGTCACCAGCTTTGCTTATGTGTGTGACAAGGATAAACAGGACCAGTGGTGGAGCTCCCGGATTGCTAAGTGTCCTGCTCCATGTACACACGCCTCCTGCATGTTTCTGTGCTTGTAGATTTGATGTCATGGCTTCCCCCCACAAGGATGCTGTGGTACCCTCCTATGTCCACTTCCCTTTACAGGGATGTAAGTGAGAAAGAAGAAGAAGCCCAGGCTGGGGGTCAGCTCAGTGGCTAGGAGCATTGATGCTCCTGCAGGTGATCCACGTCTGATTCCCAGCACCCACATGGTGGCTCATACTGCCTGTAACTCCCTCTTCTGACCTCTGTGGGTACAAGGTGCACATGCATATATGCAGGCAAAACATTTATACGCAGAAAATAAAAAAAAACCTATTATTTAAGAAGAAGACAAAATTTGAAACACAGGATCTTTAGTTCTTCTTGTTTGTCTGTTTTTTATGCTCTGTTTTGTTTTTGACACATGGTCCCTCTTTTAGTCCAGGCTAGCCTCAAGCTCTAGATCTCCCTTGCCTCAGCCTCCTGATCTCTAGGCTCACAAGCAGACCGCTGGAATTTGAATTCGGATTCTCCAACGGGCAATTCTTTTGTTGTCGTTTTGTTTTGTTTTCTTAATTTTTAAAAAGTTTTCACACTTATATAATGTATATCGAACATATCCTACCCCCACTCCCTTCACCTCTGTGTAAGTTGGGGGTTTTGTTTTGTTGATTCTTTTGTTTGTTTCAAACTGATATGAGCCAGAGTCCACTGGGATGAGGAAACCGCAGATGAGGAATGGCCTCTCTCCAGCTAAACTGTGGAAAGTCTGTGGGGGGTTTTATTTGGTAATGATTGACGCTGGGAGGGCGCAGTTCACTGTAGGTGCCATGAACCCTGGGCCGATGGACCTGGGTTAGACAAGAAAAGTTGAGCAAGCAGAAAGCGCTGTTCCTCCATGGCCTCTGCTTCAGTTACTGCCTCCAAGTTCCTACCCCCGGCTTCCCTCGGGACGAATCCTGAGTGGATGTGTAAATCAAGTTAGCCCTGTCCTCCCAAAGCTGGCTGGGTATTTTGTCACGGCAACAGGAAAGCAAACCGAGACACCCTCCATTTTCTCAGTCACCCCCCCCCCAATACCACCCATCTCTTAGACAGGTTTATTTCTACTTTTATGTCATATGTATATACATGATTTACGCATCTATATAAAATCTGGGAACTATAAAGGAGAAAAACATACGTGATATTTGTGTTTCTGGGACTTCAGTTAATTCTCTTCATATGATTTTTTCCAGTTGCATCCATTTTCCTACAAATAAAATAACTTCACTCTTTGTGGCTGAAGAAAACTCTCTCTCTCTCTCTCTCTCTCTCTCTCTCTCTCTGTGTGTGTGTGTGTGTGTGTGTGTGTGTGTGTGTGTGTGTGTATGAGAGAGAGAGAGAGAGAGAGAGAGAGAGAGAGAGAGAAGCATTCCTTATCTGTTCCTCTGTCACTAGACACCTAGGTTGGTTCTATAATTTAACTGTGAATGTTGCTGTAATAAACACTGGCATGTAAGTACCTCTGTGATCTATGGACTCAGAGCCGTTTGTGTAAACCACCAGGAAAGCTACAGATGGGTCATATGAAGATCTAAGTCTGGTTTCTGAGAAAACCCCACGCTGATTTCTTCAGTGGCCCAATTGGTTTACATTCCTGCCGGCAGCGTACAACAATCCCTGTCTGTCCGCGGATCAGTAATTCGTTACGAACTCCTGTACCTACATGCAAAAGCGGGCCTGTGGGGCTCACTGATCCACACTCATGACAACAATCAGGGGCTGACCATCATGGTTTGACTATAAGAGATGTCATAGGTTCACAGATAGCAGTTTGATTGCCAGCTTTTAGGAAATGGTTTGATAATGAGAGCCCTGTCTTCATGAATGGGTTGTTGTAGTTGGGTTTAATGTCAACTCTTGAACCAGCTGAGTAGGGAGCCTCAACTGAAGTATTATCCTGATTGTCCTAGTTAACTTGGGAAGACCTGTCCTGACTGTGGACAGTATCTTCTGGTGGCAGTGCACATTGAGGGTAAAGCAGAAAGAAAGAGATTTCACCTTGGGCTTGCTTGGGCTCTGTGGTAGTTTGAATGTAGTTGGCCCCCATAAACTCATAGGAAGTGGCATTATTAGGAGGTGTGGCTTTGTTGGAGTAGGTGTGGTCTTGTTGGAGGAAGTATGTCACTGTGGAGGTGGGCTTTAATGTCTCATGTGCTCAAGATACAAGCCAGGGTCTTAGTCCACTTCCTGTTGGCTTCTGATCAAGATATAGCCAACACCATGTCTGCCTGCATGTCACCATGCTCCCCACCATGATGATAACGGACTGAACTTCTGAAACTGTAAGTAAGCCACCCAATCAAACGGTTTCCTTTATAAGAGTTGTAGTGGTCATGGTATCTGTTCCCAGCCTTGGAAACCCTAAGAAAGGCACCCACTGGCTGCTGAGTTGATTCGTCACCCTGTTACTGATGCTGCTGATACCAGAAACAGCATTTCCAGATTTCCATCAAAATTTAAGGAACAGAAGAACCTTTTCAGTATTCAGTGACAGATTGGGCTTGCTAAGGCACCAAGTTTTGTGGACTGCACAACCACCTGATTGTTGGCCTCCCCAGTGTGAGGCCGGGGCTACACCACGGTAAAGGACTGAGAAACCACTGAGAGGTTCACAGCTCTCAGGTGAGACTCAGCTACTGTTACCACTTTAGCATAAACATTCACCCTATTGATTCTGCAAAAGGTGAGGCCTAGTTAGGGAATGTAGAGGTCACTGGGGCCATGTCCTTAGGGTTATATATTAACTAGCCTTTCCTTTCATTTCTGTCCACCAAGAGGAAAGTAGCCCCCACCACATACTGCTGCCACCATGATGTTCTATCCAAAAGCATGGAGTCACTTGCATCAGTGGCTCAGAGCTAGAAACCTCATCTGCCGTGTGTAAGAAAGAGGTCAGCCAAGCATGAACTAAACCCTCTGGGACAGTGAATCAAAAATTGCTCCCTTACACTGTTTAGGCAGTGATGACAAGTCAACTGACAAACACAGGGAGCTGGGCACAGCCCCTACCCCTTGGGTATGGATATCTAAATTTCTTCTATGGGACTCACGAGCTCTCATGGTGACCCATGAGACATACATTCTGCTGACCACTGCCCTCCAGCAGCAAGTCATTCCCTGTGACACCTCTGGACCCCATCAGCACCTTGAGAGGCTTCTTCAGCTCTGAGTCCTGTGCTGTGAAACCCTTAGGGACAGGGACATGTCTTAATCCCTCTGCTTAGTCCCAGAGTCTCCCATAACTGAGTAGAGCTGATGTTCAGGGAGTGCTGGATGAGAGATCCCCTAGGAAATCACATCCTTCTGTCTGAGCCTGCTTCCCCATGATGGAGTCAGAGTTGGGGAGTTCACCAGCCTCTCCAGGAGCCCCGGCCCCACCCCCTTTCTTCTTTGTGTTCATCTGGCACACCATGCTCGGCTCAGCCATTCTCTCCACACAGTCTGGTTACTACAACTGTACCCCACAGTTCTCACCAGGACCTATCTGACAACCCCTCTCTTCCCCAGGCCTATCTTAATCACTCCAACCCCCACTTGCCTGATCTCCTGTCCAGCGCTCAGCACTTATAAAAAGAAAACCATTTTAGTTTGTATCATCCTCCCAGCTTTCCTGAGAAAGCAGAGATAACTCCCCCACACCTCATACTCCCACCCTCCACCCCCAATCCTGGTCTCATCCCAACCTCCCTGTTGGTCTAAAGAACTGACACCAGCACTTTCTATTAGATCACTTCCTCCTTCCTATGGTCACACTCCAACAATGATTCATTCTTCATTTTCCCTTTTTTAGCTCTTCATCTTTACATATATATATATATATATATATATATATATATATATATATATGTGGCCACACAGGCAGGAGGATGGAACACTAGAGAGAAATGACATTTGCATGTATAATTCTCTCTCAAACTTCCCCACTCTCTCCCTTCTTACTTTCTTGCACCTGTGCATGTGTGTACATGTATGCAAATGCACAGATATGCATGCGTATATACCTAACACACAGATATGAGTATTCACATATGCAAATGCAAAGGTAAGTGGATGCATGCATTTGTATGTGTATATGTATGTCTTTCTCCAGTATTTTTCTATTCTTTCTGATCATTCACTCCCTGTGCTCATCTTTTTGTCTATGTCCCTTATCTGAATTGCCCCCACACTTAAGAGACCCTTTCTTTGGTCCACTTCCCCTACAGATCCTTGGCACCCACTCCTGTTCCTTTCCACCTTAGTCATTGTTCCTGTTGTTGTGACAAAAGCAATTGAAGGTAGGAAGGGTTTGTACAGTTTGTGGGTACCGTCCATGGTGGGAGCGCACACAGCAGGAGCCTGGGGTTGCTGTGCACGGCAGTCCTGCTGCCTTGGGCAGCCATTCAGGAGCACACAGTCAGGATGCCACAGCAATGAGCACCAGTGCTCAGTGCATTTTCTCCTTTCTATTCCATTCTAGGACTCCGGCCCATAGGAATGGTGCCTGCCACACACATTTAGGATGCATGTCTCTGCTTTATTTCATCAAGACACTACCACACAGGTATACTCACAGGCTAACCTAATCTGTGCATCTGGAAGCTTATCTCTGGGTTGCTGTCTCGTTGACTGGTGTGGGAGAATTGTCTGTATTCTGTCAATCATATTTTAATAAAACGCTGATTGGCCAGGCAGGCAGTATAGGCGGGAAAGCCAGACAGGAAGTAGAGGTGGGGCAAAGAGACTGGGAGTATTCTGGAAAGCAGGAAGCTCCCTCCACAATTCTGCCCAGACCACCAGAGAGGAAAGATGTAAGCTGCCCCACTGGAAAAGGTACTGAGCCATGTGCTAACGTAGATAAGGATAATGGGATAACATAAGTTATAAGAGCTAATAAGTAGCCTGACCTAATGGGCCAATCAGCTTTATAACTTATAGAAATCTCTGTGTGATTGATTTTCCTTGGGAGTTGCCAGCTGTGGGGTACCGGGCGGGACAGATACCCCAACAAGCCGGCCCTCATGTTACACTTGACAATCAACATAAACCATCACACGTTCCCAGACAAGCATCTTCACAAACATAGATGCATTCCATCAATCAACATAAACCATCACACATTCCGGACAAGCATCTTCACAAACATAGACACGTTCCGTCGCTTTCCACATTCACATCTCGGCCCACGAGAGTTGGTTTTATGACCAGCGTGTTGTGCAAGTAGCTTAGCCAGGCAGCCCTGGTGACACCACCAAGTCTGTGTTTCCAGAGACTGTTCCAGAAGGAGACTGGCTGTCAGGGTCTTATGCCTCACCATTTTCCAACGGTGGTGGCCAGCACAGTGCCTAGCATAGGAACCGTTCCAAACAAACCCTGTCACATGACCAGAATCAAACCATGGAGTGGGGCAAGATTTCCAGCCTTTAAAGCATAGTTGGCACTGTCTGCACCATCAGGAGCATTTCTGTAACTTCTCAGACACTGACAAGGACTTGGTCTTCATTGAGCAAAAGCTCTGAGTTAACGGAACTGGTTTGACCTGGTCTGACTCAAGCCAGACTGAACATGATGGCCCCCACCCTCAGAAGCCCCTGTGCTGCTCTGGCAGAGACCTAACAACCTATATGGTTATATAACAACCATATAGGACTAGACAGGTGTCACCAATAGAAATAGGCCCTTCAGTTTCTAATCTTAACCAAATGCGTTTCAGTCTGAAGGCAGACTACCTTCCTGCCCCAAGATAGATAGTGTGCCTATCTCACACCAATAAATAATAACAAAGGTCCACTGGACCATTTATTTAGCTAAGTGGTTTGCTGCTCCCAGGGGTCTGAGAATGAGGTCTGCATTTGCTCACCTCTTTGCCTAGCTCAGAGGACTTCCTCTGAATGAATGACAGAATGTAGAAATGAATGAACATGGCCAGAGGGAGAAATCTGCACTCTAGCTTCCTAAGATGCAACAAGAAGGACTCAGGAGAGCATGCAAATTAAACGTTAGAGGGGCAATGGGGAAAGGGTAATTAATTCCAACAATGGGGTAGCAGTAGGGAAACCCATAAAGGCTCCATTAGAGGCTTGCTCAGGGTATCAGTGACTAATTGTGTTCTCAGCAAGCATCACCAAGGCCTTCCCTTGAATCAGTTGAATGCTTCTGCCTGTGATGTAGGTATGATTGCTGTTATTTTTCAAATGGGAAATCAAGGCATGGAGAAAGCTCTTCCATCAAGACCAGTTAGAAAGTAACAGGGGCTGCAGGTCAACCCCAGTGCTGTGAACTTCTGGCCATCGGTCCCCAGAATAAAGCCCAGGCATGCACCTCAGCTCACCCAGAAAGACAGGGATGATTCAAGCAAGCCCTTAACTAAGAAAAAACTAAATTCCAAGGTGGGTCTGTATTCCCAACTACTCAAGAGGCTGGGGGCGGGAGCGCAGGATGTTCATGGCCTGCCTAGGCCACAGTCTGGGCAGTCATTCTGGGCAGTTTAGTGAGACCCCATCAAAGAATAAAAAGTGAGAAAGCAAAAATACAGCTCAATGGGATACTATTTTCCTATCATGTATGGAGCCCTAGGTTCAACCCCCAGAAACACACACACACATACACGCACATACACACACAGATGTACACTTGAGAAAAGAAAAGGAAAAAAGCTGAATTACTAATTTAACTAGCCCCAGCCCCATCCTCAGATCTTCAGATCCAACTTGTTTTGCCCGGATACTCTATTGCTTCCAGAATAATGAATATATATTCTATATAAAAGAGAGGAGTCTATTCCCCAGTGCACTTCATCAAACTAGCATGATCTTAACATACACCCCAAACAAAGAGAAAACATTAAAAGAAAAAATCCTTAGGACATACAGACATAAAAATCCTTAACATAGTATCAGCAAAAAGGGTCAACAGAAAGTGAGGTTTATTTTTCTTTCTCATGACTTTTTATGACATGGCAATGTTTTATTCTAAAGATGCAAGACGTGTTTGTTATTGAAAATCCAATTAATGTGACCTACCGTATATCACAAGCCTGATGTTTATAGTTTGGAGAATGAAAGTCGAAAGAGTGTGTAACCAACCCTAGTGGGACCTTCTTAGCTAAGTCACCTCAGGGAAGATGGCACTACGTGGGAAGAGCACACAAGTGGGGGAGGTCACATGGTCAGACAGGAAGCTGAAGAGCTTCCTGGGACTAAACGGATCCCCTGAGACCATCATTGATCTCTTCCAAAGTGACACCATGTATCGATTAATCTTCACCAACTTGACTGGAGTTAGAACCACATAGGAAACACCCCGGAGTGTGGCTGTGAGAATGTTATCCGAAAGGTTTGCCTGAGGATGAAGTGTCCACTCTCAGTGTGAGCATGGGGTGGAGTCTAGCCTGAATAAACAGGAGAGAGATCAGAGCACCAGCATTCAGTTCTCCCCACTTCCTGGCTGCAGGGCCATGCTGCCTTATTCCCCTGCCTTCAAGCTGTCCCCGCCAGGATGAAGGACACCCTCAAAGTGTGAAGCAAAACAAACATTTCCTTCCTTAAGTCATTTTTGTCATGGCAACCAGAAAGACCATCAATACTCAGCACCAATGACCTAAAGACACTTCCCCCCAAGGTCCCTCTCCCAAGGGTCCCATCACCTCCCGTATCCCCACACTGCAGACCAATCCTCAGACACATTAGCCTTCGGGGAACACACCACATCCAAACCACAGCACTGCTCACTAAGCAAAAATTGTAACAGTTATGTACCCATATCACATGATAGCATCTGGAGGCACATTCTCTCAGTTTTATATCTGAGTAGATATAAACACAATCTGAGGCTCATGCCACATGGGTTCTGCTAAGAGTGCTTTTTATTTTCAACTGAGCATCCTATCCAAAAAAAAAAAAAAAAGTTTCAAAAGGCAGTCCTGCCCTGAAGTTTTATCATATAAAGCAAATGTTGAGTTTCCACGGTTTCTGGCTTCAGCCTGCCCAGAGGAATCATTCCAATGAAATATTAACCTCCGAGAAAGCCACCCTGGGATAAGCCTGTAAAGTAATTCAAGCAGCATGTGTAAAATTTATTTAGTGTTTGGCTGGGGATGTTTTTAATTATGTGAAGTCTCCAGAATGGGAAGAAAGTGTGGAAGATGTTTGATGTAACCCTTCACGGAGGCGCTGGATGCTCCCAGACTTCTCTTTGGCTTCAGTTTATTTCTGCGGCGCCCTAAACTATGACACACATGCAGCTCCCATGGCACGTTCACACCCGAGACACAGTCATCAGCGGGACAAGCCGAGAGGGAGACACCGGAATCAGCAAACCCGAAGACCTTCAGTGTGGAGATCGGAGATCGAGTCCTAGGCCCCACAACCAGAGGAGTGTCTAAAGGAATGCTTCTCCAGCTTCCTAACACTGCAACCCCATAACACATGCTGTGATGACCCCGACCGTAACATTATTTTCATTGAGACTTCATAACTGTGATTATGCTCTCCTCATACACAGAGTGCTCCAAGTTCTAGCCCCGGAAAAGCACTAAACCCCGGGTGGTAGTGCACCTATAGTCCCAGTACTCCGGAAGTGGAGGCAGGGGAGGCAGGAGCTCAAAGTCACCCCTGGTCAAAGTGAGGTCAAGGCCAACACGGGCTACTTGAGACCGTGCCCCTCCCCCACCCCAAACTGAAGACCAGAAGCCACCGACTGTCTGATAAACAGGTGGAAAGCTCAGGAGCCTGTCTCTAAAGACAGTCTTTCCACCACCTCTGGGCTCTGTCTACAGACATAAAGTTCCTGGAACCAGCCTGGGGGCAGGGGTTCCATTTCAGTAGGGTCTATATGAGACACAGCATCAGAAAGGGAAGATGAATTTTTTAAAGATATTCACAGCTGGTTCTGTGAAGTAGAGCTCACATGCTGGAAATCGGTACCAAGATGTTCACATCCTGAATGACCTGCTGGGGATCCAGCTCTGTTGGTAGAGTACTTGCCTGGCACACATGAATCCCTGGTTTCAGTTTCCAGCATCATATAAACAAGAGAAGGTGGTACACTTGATCCCGTACTTTGGAGAAGGAGGCAAGAAGATCAAAAGTTTATAATCACAGTTTGCTCATTTGAATAAAAAGTAAATGTGCTCTTGGCAAGACTGAGATTCTAATCTTTATACCCTCTGCACTGCAGCCCCCTGTTTCGAGCGACAACAAAGGGGGAATCAGCCCGGCCTGGGAGAAGCTGGCAGAGAAAGCAGACTGTGTTGAACATGACGAAGTAAAGACACTGAGGCTGGGTGAGGAGCTCCGGTTCCAAATGAACTGATCCCCTCTTCCAGATTCTGCGGGCACTGCATGCACGTACATTAATACAGACGGAGAAAAACCAAATAGATCCTTTTAAAAATAGTCAGCATGGCAGTGCGCACCTGTAAAAGTTTGGTTTTCCACTGGGAAAGCAGAGTCACGAAGATCCTGGGGCTCACTGGCCAGCCAGCCTAGCGGAAACTCCAGCTTCAGAAAGAGGCCCTGTGTCTAAAAAGAAGATGGAGAATGAGAAACTCACCCATCGCTAACCTCTGAACGCTCTTCCAGAGGACCTGGGTTTGATTCCCAGGGAGCTTTCACAGTCATCTGTAGATCTAGTGCCAGGGGATTCAACCACCTCTGGGGCTTCTGCCAATACCCAAGTGGTCCACAGATATATATGCAAAATAGTCATACATATTAAAATAACAATTAAAAACTTAAAATTATTTTTTAAAACTTGTAAACAGACACACTCAATAGTGGTCTGTGCCCATTGTGAACAACACCACCAGCCCAGTGCATTTACAAGCCCAGCTGGCTATGTTAGTGCCACTCCGGAATGAAGGGTCTCCTGCCAAAACGATGACCACACTAGCCCACGTGTTGATGTGTCATCAATTAGGAAATTTGGAGTTGCAGAAAGATCGCTTAACAAATCCTTGCAAGTCTTCTCATGCAGTCAAACTGTACCCACAAGCACACTGTCCCTGCTTTCCAGGGTGCTGCCCAATTAAAGCACCAGGCAGGCTTGGCGACGCCTGTGGAAGAACGCATCCTCTTATAAAGACACAACTGTATGTGGCACGGAGCTCACATTTGCAATCCCAGCACTCTGGAGGGTGAGGTTGGAGCAGCCATGGGGAGTAAGCCAGTAAGCAGCACCCTCCATGGCCTCTGCATCAGCTTCTGCCTACAGGTTCTTGCCCTGTTAGAGTTCCCGTCCTGACTTCCTTCAGTGTCGAAACAGTGATGAGGAAGTGTAAGCCCAATAAACCCTTTCCTCCCTCATGGTATTTCATTACAGCAATAGTAACCCTAGCTAAAATAATTTCTCTTTCTAGTTTTGAGAGCTTTTCTGTTTGTTTAGTTGGTTGGTTTGGTTTTTCAAGACAAGGTTTCTCTGTATAGCCTTGGCTGTCCTAGAACTCACTCTGTAGATCGGGATGATCTGGAAATCACTATATAGATCAGCTGACCCCAAACTTACAGAGATCTACCTGCCTCTCTGCCTCCTGAGTGCTAGAATAAAAGTGTGGGGCACAACACCTGGATGAAGATAGCTTTTCAATCAGTATGTGCTGAATCTACAAGGCATCCTGTCTAAAGTACCGCCTAAAGCTGTAACTGCCCACTGGAGTCTAAGTCCCAAGTTTCTCTGTGTACCATGACACTCCAGTGTTCTCACTGATGAAGTATAGATGACAAACTATTAATTATCATATAACACACAGTTCTCTGCAGTCATTCCACATGCCCAGACTTTTCCCTTGATGGAATATTCAGAACCACAGGATTGGACAAAAGCCACATCAAGGGTTATGTGTCTTCATGGAGTCCACATCTGTACTGAGCCATAGGCACACCCTCCTGGGGAAGAATGCCTGCTTCCCCTGCAAAGAAGGGTGGGGCAAGGCACCTGTGCTCCTACCTTTTCTGTGACAGTGCCTTGTTTGTGCACACCAAGACCCAGTCAAAGGCCCTATGCACTGTGCCCACATCCCCATTCATCCTTGGTTCCTGGAGGGTCTCTCCACAGACCCATAAAACCTCCAAGTTTGAAATACAACCTTTGAAAGATGCCAGCTTCATGTTTTCTGACACCCAGAGGAAGAAAATGAAGAAAATAATTCAGTTGCTGTAGGTGTGAAGATACAAAGATACACATACACCCATAAACATACAGTCACAGACACATATACGTACACAGACATATACAAATGCAGACACACACAGAGACATATACACAGAGAGACGCATATATACAGACACAGAGACACATACACACATAGCTACAGATAAACACACACATAGACATATTCCCATACACACAAGCATACCTGAACACACACACAGACACACATACACACACAGCTACAGATCAACACACACACACTTCCATACACACAAGCATACCTGAACACACACACACACACACACACACACACACACAGCTACAGCTAAATACACATTCCCATAAGTACACCTGCACACATACACACACAGCTACATCTAAACATACAATACACACATTCCCATATATACAAGCATACCTGACCCACACACACACATACACACACATGTACACACACGCGTGCGCACACACAGACACACATAGACACACACACACGCGTGCGCACACACAGACACACATAGACACACACACACACACACACACACACACACACGACCCTTTCCTATGGCCTTTTTTTTTGGAGTCAAAGCACTTTATTCAGAGGCTTGGGGAGGAAAGGCTGGAGAGTTCCACGCTGTCCGCTGTCCTCCACTGGGCAGAGCTCGCAGGTCTACCCATCGCTAAGAGCTATTATGGCCTTTAGGATTCAGGGGAGCACATCTCTGGGAAAGCCGGTCAGAGGCCTCTGTGAAGGTATGACTACTTTCACTGAGAAACTTCCAAGAGCAAAGATGCCATTTTTTTTTTAACTACAGAATATTTACAAGGTTGGAAGCCAGATCTTAATTCTAACCCTGAGCCTCTGGGATGTTAGCATCAGGAGCTGGAGCAAAGCAGTGTCTGAGTTAAGACTTTAACCCTCCATGGTCCCTGTCTGAGAAAAAGACCTGGGAAGGTCCCCAAAGCCTTTCCCCGAGATGAGGGAGTCACTTCGGAAGGCCCGTTGAGTCTGTGTTCCTGTGCCCAGCAGCAAAGCCCAGCAAGGGAACTAGATTTTCTCATACGACAACCTTACATGACAGAAGTCAAATCACTCTAGGTCATTCGAAGCAGATGCACCGAAAGCCACTCCCTAATTCTCCCAGGGCTGGGGGCCCTGGGGATCCCCTCCTTCCTCCTCAAGGTCTATGCCAGCTATTACTCTCACCTCCCTGACATCTACAGAGCAAGCACCTGCTTCCACAGAGGATAGGGCACCCCAGCATGTCACGGTACCTTGAGGACTCTTCGGAGGGCAAACCCCAGGAGCTGGTGGGGGTGGGGGTAGTATGCTGCCCCTGAACATTACCTGTCTGGATTCTACAAGCAATGACTCTTCCCTGGACATGGTGAAAGAAAGCTTCTGTGCTCCACCTGTGAATGGTAGGGTGCTTGAAACACCCACCCCGGGCTTTTTTGTGTTTATGTGTGCGTGCGTGTGTTCAAGTATGGGAACATGTGTGTGTGGAGGCCCAAGGTCAGCACCTCGAGTGCTGCCCACCCTTCCTATTCCCCCTTTTTTTCTTTTGAGACAGGGTCTTTCACTGGCCTGGAATTTACCTAGCACGCTAGGCTGTCTGGCTGGAGAGTCCTAGAAATGCCTCTGTCTCTACTTCCCCATTGCTGGGATTCCAAGCTTGCAGCACCATGGCGTGCTGTTTGCATAGATTCTGGATATCAGACTCAGGTTTCGGGCAGCAGACCCCTCCAGGACTTCCTTATCTCACTGTGCCTGTGGCTGCTGCCTAGAACATAGGACAAAAACACCAAAGGCCTTTGTGGAAAGGAAAGTGAGCAAAGAGATGCTCACCCCAGGAAATGGGATATGGCTCTCTCATGTGGATTCTCTGATGTTTAATTCAGCAGAAACCAGGAGAGAATTTTTGCTTACGTCCATTACATTCAAACACTCCTCTCCAGTGTGAATCCTCTGCTGGTCAACAAGAGCTGAGCTAGACCTGAAGACTTTCCCACACCCACTACATTCCTAGGGATTCTCCCCTAAGTGCTGGGGCTTCCTGGCTTCCTGGAACTCACCCCCCTTCTCTCTTTTCTGACCTCCACACGAGCTCTGTCAATAACTGTGTAGCTCAGCTTCTTCCCCTTGTTCAGCACCCTGGCCTTCTCATCACCCGCCTCCACCAGCTCAGAATTCAATGGTCTTCTAATCCCTTAGTCAATGGGCACTTCACCCTGTGTGGACTTGACCTGATCCTCGGCAGCTGGCCCCTCCTTTCTGAAAATGCTTCTGTCCCACACTGCAATCTCCTGTGTCCTCTTGCTCTCTGCAAGTCCCCTTCCAATGCTGCCTTCACAGAGTCTTCCTTTTCCTCTCCTGCAGCTCAGTGTGGCATCCTGGCAAGCCCTGTTCTCAGAGCAGTCTGACGCAGGCGTGGATCCTGACAAGCTGGGTGAAGGTCCTGGGTCTGCCATGGAGAGTCGTATGGAGAAGTCAGCCATCACCTGTGTGCCTCAGTTTACTCAGGTGCAAAATAGGCACAGTAATAGGAGTCCTCCTTGGTGGCGGTTGTACTCTGAAGTAAAGACTCGACAGCAATCCCCTTCCTGATGGTTTTTCTTTGCTCATAATTAAGATTACTACAAGGGTGCTGTGGAATATTCCTGTACACTATGTAAATTATGCTCTGATTGGTTTAATAAACAAGCTGACTGGCCAGTAGCTGAACACGATTGAGTTAGGTGGGAGAGCCAAACTAAAAATGCTGGGATGAAGAAGGGCAGAGTCAGGGGAGATACAAGCCAGCTGCTGAGGGAGGAAGATGTGCTAGGGTTTCGGTAAAATGTCATGAGTCATGTGACAAAAGATAGATTGACATATGGGTTCATTTAAATGTAAGAGATAGATAGTAATAAGCCTGAGTTATTGGCCAAGAGTTACGATTAATAAAAGCCTCTGAGTGACTATTAGAAAGTGACTGTAGGATGGGGCTGGACAGAGAAACCTCTGCTTCTACAAGGGTTTAGAATGCACAGCACACTTAAAAAGCACTATCTGGACCTAGTGGTATGGTTCCATAGGTGGAGTTCACCAAGCATAAACCACATACCAGGCTTGGTCATATACACCTGTAATCCCAGAGGCAGGAAGATCTGAAGTTCAAGGTCACCCTCAGTTATAACAAAAGTTGGAGGCCAGCCTGGGCTATGTGAAACCCTGTCTCAAAATAAACATTAGATAAAGATTGAAAAGTAAGCACTACCTATGGCCCTCTTCCCACACCCCATAACACTCCCCGATCAAATGACTTCCCTGCCTCTCATTAAAAGCTGGGCTCATAAATCTTCTTTAAGGCCTCTCTTGAATGCCAGACCCAGGAAGCCATCTGCCCAGACACCCCTGCCCACCTGGCCTTGATGCTTCCAAGTTGGCCAGTCTGAAACTGAGCTCACTGCCCTCTCCTGCCATGCTGTACCCTGGCCCTCCCCTATTTTACCCCTCCACCCCCACTGACAATGAATGGCTCTACTATCCTTGCCCTGCTTGCCCAGGCCAAACTGCCCCAGTCATCATGAGTTCCTGCCCTTCTGTAGTCCTTCATCCAATCAGTCACCAGATCGTGTTGACTCCAGTGCCAAAAGCTTCCTGGGTCTGCGCCCAATTCTCCACCCCCGTTACTGGTGTCTTGGAAACTTATTAGTTCTTGCCTGGATGAGAGTAACAATATCAAATTAATCACATGCCCATTATGGCTAATACATTTATGTCATACAGAATCCGACACCAGCCGCACTACCCATAAATGAGGAAGCAGAGTTTCTGCGTTCCGAGAAGACGCCCTCATTTGCCATCTAGCCCAAGTAACACAGGGTGCTGGAGGCAGGAAAGCAAGCCAAGGGCCTCTGACTCCAGATTCCAGGCCTTTACACACCCCACACTACAGTGACATCAAGGCTGCTCATCTGACATCCGGCTGGTTCTTTTCTAGTGTCTTCTCCACAGTCTATCTATCTATCATTATAATGATGCCTGGACTTGGCCTCCTACGTGAAACCCTGCAGGAGTTTCCCAGTCAAATTCGAGCACTTCATCTAGACCCCTTCCTGATCGAGACTTTGCTCTTTTGTAGACTCACCTCTCCCCCCCCCCCCAACCACAGCACTCTCATCAGTCTCTGTCTATGTGTCTCACTCTCTTCCCCCTCCCTTTGGACCTTCCTACTTGCTGTCCAGACTCAGTGAAGTGTCCCTCCTCTGGAAGCACACAGCACTTTGTCATTCTCTGCTTCTTAGAACATCACATCTGAAATGGCTTCCGTGTGTTTTCTAGAATTCACTTATTAGAAACCTAATCCCCAAGTCACATATAAATGACATTTGCAGGTGACCTTTTGGAGCCAATTAGGATAAGATAAGGTCATGGATTAGGTCCTAGGCATGCATGAGTTACTTTATAAGAAGAAGGAGTAAGCCCTGAGCTAGATTGCTCGCTCTGTCTGGCCATACAATGCCATCTACAATATCATGGTCCTGCAGGGAGGCCTTCATAGGCTTTCAGAACTATGTATGACATTAAAAGACATTAAAAAAATAATAAAATGTCTAGTCTGGGGTATGCAGTTACAGCCACAGAAAACAAACTAGGAAGACATTTACTTTTTGAGTCCTTTTTGAAAACTCTCCTTCATAGTGGGCCCTAGCAATTTAGGAACTGGCAGGATACTCTCTGCTTCTGGAGAATGTATTTCGATATAAAGGCTGGACAGTGGGATGCTACATTCCTACCTCTGACTCTATCTGACTCTACACTGGGTCTCTGAATTCCCAGGCAAACAGAGTACCTTGTATATCTGTCTCCAGGGCCTAGGACGAAGCCTGGCTGGCTTGTGAGGTGTCAGCAAATGGTCACGTGTTGAACTGAACAAACACAGTAAGACTTCCAAGCCACTTGTGGGAGCCAGTGTCCAATTTCACCTGTGTGCCTCCCAGAACAATGTCCAAGGTGTAACTTTTAGAATTTGCATAAGATTCTCAGGGTGCAGCCCTGGAGAATGCTTTGCAAACCATCCTTGCCCTGGATTACTGACTCACTCAGGGAGAGATGGCGGGACCAAGTCCTTGAAGAAGACCAGCGGCGGTTCAGCACCCTGCCCCTTCCAGTAGCCGAGCAGGAGACCAGAGAACGCTGTATCAAGTTTAACATATAAAAGCCATCCTTCACAGCTAAGTCTGGGCTTCATACAACAAACTCAAGAAACAGTGAGAGCCAGCGCTCTGCACACATCCTGTAAGGGGCTGCTCCTCACAGGGCCCCACGCTTTTGAGCACAGGTTTTCCCTCCGCTCACAGCCCATCCCCACTCTCTGGAGGGCCTTCCCTTCTGTTAACAAACCGTTGCCTTCTATGTCTAAGCATGTGCCCTGGCCCAGTACTTTGCAGAGGGGCAGAAGAACCTGGACACTTCAGCGGGTGCCCTCAGGACACAGGGTCCACAGCTGCAAGTATTACATCTGTATCCATGGGTTCACGTTGGCACCACGGGGGACCCAACGCAGAGAGCTGCTCTTCGAGGTTGCTCAGCCAAGAGGCACACTGGACGGTGGACCTTGAGAAAGCAATGCACCTGCCTGTCTTCTCCTAGAGGTGCCAACTGCCCCTTCCTTGAGGGCTGCTGTGACCTGTCTTGTCCTAACAAGATGAGCAAGGAAGAAGACAGCTGACTGTGTTTGTATCAGCGCCTGGGCAGACAACCTGAGCCTGTTCTTGGGATTATCCCTCTCCAAACAGGAACAAGATCCCCTGAAGTACGCTCCCTCAGGCTATAGTCCTTCTGAGTGATGGGAGAACACAGGGCAGAAGGCAATGTTCGCTCATTGCCTTGTATTCTGGGAAGAGCCTTGTTTTCCTCCCAAGTTTATGGTGGCCCCTCTGCTGAGTAGCACTTCCGCCTCCTCTCACAGTGGAGGACAAAGTGCAGGCTGCCTCTGGGATCAAATCCGGGGCAAGAGGAGAAGGAAGAAGTAAAAGAGCCCTCTCGGATGCAGAGAAGGCAAGTCTGACCGGAAATGGAGCCAAGGAAATGGTTGTTCCCGCTGGCTTGCTCTCTTTCTGGCCTTGAACTTACAAACTGATTAAGTAGCTGACAGTGACCTTGAACTTCTGATTCTCCTCTAGGCCTGTTCTACCAAACCCACTTTATGCAGTCCTGGGACTTGAACCCAGCAGTAAAGGCAAAGTAGGCAAGCTCTCTACCATGAGCGACATCTCCAATCACTTTTTTCTTGTTGAACAGACAAGATCTCACATAGCCTATATTTAATAGTCAGATACTGTCCTGAGATAGCCTGTAGCTGGGCTGGATGGCTGAGTCTACGGCTGGCATCTGGTACTGGGTCTGTTTCTATTCTCTCTCTCTCTCTCTCTCTCTCTCTCTCTCTCTCTCTCTCTCTCTCCTAACCTCCTTTTTCTCCTTCCCTCCTCCTCTGTTCCTCCCACCCCCTCTTCACACCCCTCAGAGAGTAGAATCAAGGAGACAAATATATATAACTAAAGCTCCACCCCTGGGGCCTAACATCCACCCCTGGAACCTCTATAATAAATGAACTCCCTGCTCCTGGAGTCCTAGATGACCTTACAAAGAAGATACCCTCTCCTGCCTCCATTCCCTGAGCTCTGGGTGGAATCAATTCCCTCTGACCCCATTACCAGTGTTGTTAGGGTCAGAGCCTGGGCCCTGGTAGACTCAGCTATCCACCCTCACTAAGCCAGAAGCAACAATAAAACAGTGAAAAAACAGACGAAAGCCAATTAGATATTAGGAAAAGAAGCAAAGAGGTCCAGTGACACTCCCCATTCCGGGTGCTAATGTGAAATCTAGGTTTAAATCTAAGCAGTACTGCTCAGTATTGGTCAGGATGTGGCCCGTGCCCTCCACCTTCACTGCCTTTGGAGGGGTGCTCTGACAAGTCGTCAGAACTGTATAAAGTCTTGTTGAGAGACCAGTTCCTGCCCTGGCTGTGGCTGGCAGCCGGGCCCCAGCCTTTTCCTTCTCTCATTGTGAGATTCCAGGCGAAATTCAATTTTTGGACTATTACATTATCATCTCTGTCTTGCCCTCACTTACCCCTGCGTTGTATGGCTGTCTTCCTATCTCTCCACTCGGCTTATGAACATCCTGAAGGTGGGGCAGGTTTGCCTTCTGTACTAACTAGGGCTTTTGCTCATTCCTCTCTCCAAAAGGGCCTGCATTTCCCAGGAGGTGCTGAATGGTGAACAGAGTCAAGTTTAGAGTGCAGAGGGACCTCCATCCGTTTTGCAATCAGCAAGCAGATGAGCCCATCACCCATGGGAGCTTTCTGCAGTAAGTGCACACAAAAGGCTATGTGCTCAGGGAAGTGTGTCAACCCTGATAGCCACTGACCTGCTGCATTAGAATAGGCCGGATATCAAACTCCATCTCTTCTAGTTCATCCTCTCTGTTCCCCACAAATCTCTGTCTCATTTTCCTTCCCCACCCTCTCTACCTCTGCCCCTCTCTCCCTAAGTCTGAGAAACTTAACCCCTTACTTAGCTATCCATACAGACTTCTAGATGCTATA